TTTAATGAATTGAAATTTTCGGGAGAATAGGAGTTGCAATTATAATTACGTTTGGAGTAATTTGTATTCATTAGCACAAAGGCATTATGACTGAAGTTACCTTAGTAGGTTAAGATATACGTTGGACATCTTGCAAGGACGAGATTTTCACAGCGAGCGATCCCGACTCTTTTCGCGCTAAGATCTTTCCATTATCAGTCCATAGATACTTCCATTTCGCTGCTTTCCTTTTAATGTTGGCTTCGTGAAAAAGTTTCTTGCCCTTTTCAGTTAGTTGTTCATTTATGTATATTTTGTTGTTTGTGTCTCGTAGTCCCGCGATTCCTAGATCAGATGTTGTTTTGCTGTGCATATTTTTCTTCGCCTTGTACAATTGATTGCGAACTGTCCGACGTGTGAAACGAACGATTATATTTGATGTTGCTTGCTCGCGATTACGTGGAAGTCGATGGCTGATGTCGATGTCATGTTCAGAAACATGCACTCCTACGGCTTCGGCTACTTGGACGACTATGTCGTCAGTGATTTCATCTTCTTTTTCAGGTATTCCCTGGATTATTAGGTTGTTGCGTCTGGTGTACTGTTGCAGGGATTCAATTTCATTCTGAGCCCCGTTCAGCTTACGCTCTGTTGTGATAAGTTGTTCTCGCAGTGATTTGTTTTCATTGCGTAATGCATTCATCTCTTTTTTAAATTCTTCGAAGAAAGAGTTCACGGACTTTTGCACTTCACACAGTGTAGTTTGCACACTTGATAATTTGTCTACCGTTTTGCATAATGAATCAAGTCTGTCTTCTATACTGGTATGTTGTAACTCATCACTGTTGTCCGCCATCTTGCCTTTGTCTCCACCTTTGCCTGACTTCTCGAGACGAGGGAAACGTTTAGATTCACATGATCGGCACAAATGCAAGTCTCCTTGGCATAAACGAATACTTCTTGTTGCACCACAGTCTGCGCACTTCATCATTAAAAAGAACTTGGCGAAAATGTAGACTAGTTACTGCTTGCTTGTATCAATAGCAGGAGACAGTGATGGAGTTCAAACAATGTGTGCAAACATGGTGTGCTTGACTGACCTGGGTGTGGCATGGTGTGCTTGACTGACCTGGGTGTGGCATGGTGAACTTGACTGACTTGGGTGTGGCATGGTGAGTTTATCTGACATGTGTTAGGCATGGTGTGCTTGGCTGACATGGTTGTAACATGGTGAGCATGAACGACCCGGGTGTGACGTGGCGTGGTGGGCCCTGACCCCAGACCTGATCGACCCAGGTGTGGCATGGTGGGCCCTGACCAACCCAGGCGTGGCATGGTGGGTCCTAACCAACCTGGGTGTGGTGTGGCGTGCTCTGACTGACCCGGGTGTAGTGTGGCATGCCCTGACTGACCCGGGTGTGGCGTGGCGGGCCCTGACCGACCCAGGTGTGGTGTGGCGGGCCCTGACTAACCAGGGTGTGGCGTGACGGGCCCTGACTGACCCGGGTGTGGCATGGCGGGCCTTGACTGACCCGGGTGTGGCGTTGCGGGCCCCGACTGACCTGGGTGTGGGGTGGCGGGCCCTGACCGACCTGGGTGTGACGTGGTGAGCCTGACCGACCCGGGTGTAGCGTGGTGGGCCCTTACTGACCCGGGTATGGCATGGCGTGGTGGGCCCTGACGCCGATCCTGACTGACCTGGGTGTGGCATGGCATGGTGGGTCCTGACTGACCTGGGCGTGGCGTGGCATGGTTGGCCCTGACTGACCCGGGTGTGGAGTGGTGGGCACTGACTGACCCAGGTGTGGAGTGGCGGGCCCTGACTGACCGTGGTGTGGTGGGCCCTGAATGACCCGGGCATTGTGTGGTAGACTCTGAATGACCCAGGCTGGCATGGCGGGCCCTGACTGACTTGGGTGTGGCATGGTGAGCTTAACTGACCTGGGTGTTGCGTGGCTGTTATATTAATGATTGACAGTCACTCAAACGCCTACCTGACTTTATTAATTTATTTATGGCAATAGCTTCATAAATGTTTTATTTGTGTTCTTGCAGGGGGGCCATTTGGCCAGTTCACACCACCATTGATCGATTTTCTTAAGAGTATTCTTAAAAGATATCCTGATGGTCAGATACTCAAGGTATTGCTAAATAACAATCCTTGTCTTTATATACTATATGTCAATTGCCTTTTTTAATACATAGCATTATTCAATTCCACTGATTATACTAAGATATTCAGTTGAACTGTTTATTAATAAAGGGTAACAATTGGATTAAGGATTCCAATGATTGATTTGTTTGGTCGTTGAAAATTAATGCAATATGTTTAGCACTTACAGCCCATTAACCACATCTACCACCCCAACCACCAAGTACATTATGTTCATATCAATAATTCCGTTTTTTATCACACTTGTGATCTGCGTGTTATTATTGACGGAGCCCAGTATTATACAGTGCTACTTGAAAGCTAAATCTGTAAAGTTCAAGATTAGAATTCATCCACCAGCAGCCGCCAAAGGTGCACCTGCCTTATCGCACTGCAAACATTGTGATGGTCTGAGATCTGAGAAGTGATGGATAAATGTCTATATTTAGAGCCCAAAACCAGAGATATCATGAAGTATCGGCAGCAGTATCTATACCATTGATCTGACCCTCTAAATTACAGTACTATTTTGTGAAAATCAGGCAACTAAAAAAGCATGAATTAGTTTTTTTTTTTTAATTCATGGGTCAAGAAGGACACACTTGTAAATATTCACTAGGTTGCTCCATATGCAAGACATTCTCCACATATTGGGCCACCATAGTAGTTCAGCTCCTCATTAATCAGTGGGTTTTTAGAGATAATGACAGGATGTTATTTATTACTGTATTTTGATAGCAATTTTCCGCAGTTACCCTAAACATTGTTTGGCCTTTTATTTATTCGAATAAATTGTAGGCCTATCAATCAGTGTTATTTCTCTCACAGCATATGATTATAGTTGCATGTTGAGACACTGTCTACTAATTCACTTAGTAACAGCACAACGTATGAAACTTTAAAACTAATTTATAACCTCCACCAACCACATATCATGTCCACAAATATACATGGTAAAAAGGGAGTGTATTCAATACAACTCGAATGTCCTAGTGATAGGACCCGTATACGATCAGGTTGGCAGCTGTATTTGACACTGCCTTCTCTCATTTTTTTTCAATGACTGAGCAAATCAATAATTGGCATAAATAATCCAATGTTTTGTTGCTATATAATGTCAGTATGTCAGTTTTATAATTCACATATGTTGTTATTCAATGTACATATTGCCAATGCTTCATAACTTTATTCGCAATAATAACAAATGATGCTATATATTTATTCAGGAATTGATTCAGAATGCAGATGATGCTGGGGCAACGGAAGTGAAATTTCTCTTAGATACCACAGAATATGGAACAACATCTCTCCTGACACCATCCATTGCAACGTACCAGGGAGCCGCTCTGTATTGCTATAATGACAGCGTATTTAACGACGCTGATTGGAAAAGCATTCAATCTGTTCAACAGAGTGTTAAGAAAAAAGATCCGTTGCGTACAGGAAGATTTGGTCTTGGATTTGTGTCTGTTTATCACATAACAGGTAATAGTAATATAACAAATGATAAGAAACATTATAGGTATACATAGGACAAACATAACTAGTTCAGTTTTTCTGAAACCACCAAGAAATTAGTATGTACTCACAATGATTATCAGTTTGTAAGCATTTGCCAAATAATTTTATAGGTTGTCTAAAACTATTATGAAATAATTTGGTTGCTTATATTTCTTTGCTTATATTTTTGTAGATATGCCATCAATCATGAGTGCAGACAAAATCGTTTTCTTCGACCCATTTGAAAACCGTTTTCGAGAAGGGTATCCAGGATGGCAAGTCCCATTAGATAAGTCACTTTTAACTGCTTATCATCACCAGTTTTTACCATTCACTAAAATCCATTCACAAATTGGTTTTGGTGACCAACCATTTAACAATACTTTTTTCAATGGGACATTGATGCGTTTCCCTCTCCGCAAGGAAATATCAAAAATGTCATCAAACGTATTTAAACCAGAAAATATTGATGACATGTTTGAATCCTTCAAGGAAGAACTAGATGTAATTCTGTTGTTTCTGAAATCTGTTGAAAAGGTAAGTGTGTATAAATGTTCAGACGGACAAACAAATACGATATTTCAAGTCAAACGTGATGATGCAGATAAGAATGCAAAACATGCATTTTTTGAAAGTATTGAGAGAAAATGTCTAACTGAGCCATACTTTCAGCAGAGTGATATTATTAGATCCATTGGGTCAGAATCAACTACTACACGATGGCTAATTTTTAACCAGCTGTTTAATAGCAATGTTTCTGATAAGGTAAGAAACCTAGCCTCTGAGTTAGGTTTGTTGCCTTTAGTTGGCCTAGCAATGCCAGTTGTTAAAAATAAGCATATTCCAGAACTGAGCACAGTGGAAGGTAGAGTGTTCTGTGTTCTTCCACTTCCACCTGATAAAGCAAGTGAAGGGGTAACTGGCTTACCTCTACATGTTCATGCCTACTTTGGACTTGCTGACAATCGTCGCAGTCTGAAGTGGCCAGCAATTGATCAAAAACATGATGCTATGGCAGAATGGAATGAGCTGATTGTGACACACTTATTACCAGAAGCCTACAGTACGTTTATTCTACATGCAATTTCGATAAGTGAGTTATCCCCATATTCGATATACCAAGCATGGCCTAACAAGGACTGTGTTAAGCCACATTGGAATAAGTTCCTGCATCCATTTGTTGCAAATACAATTCACAAGGATGTTCTGTTCACAAAAGCAAGACGTGGTCAGTGGATTTCACTAACTAAGGCTATATTCGGCAATATAAGAGATGATACTCCCAATGTGACACAAGCAGTAATATCATATTTAGAATCATGTGATAAAGATGTTGTTGTCCCCCCAGAACATGTATTTGAAAACATACGTCAGTGTGATATCAACATTGTAACACCTCAGCTATTGAGGAACTGTGTACGCACCCATTATGTAACAGACCTGTCTTACGAAGAAAAGATCTTACTTCTTCAATTTTCTCTCCATGATGATAACTTTGAGGATCTACTAGGTTTACCTCTTCTCCCAGTATCTGGAAACAAATTTACTACCTTTAAATCTGGTAGTAAATTAGTTCTTTTTCCAACATCAGATATTCCACAAATTCTGCTCCCAGGTGAAAGCAAATCATTTGATTTTATTGAAACAAATCTTTCGAAAATAGTTTGTGATAAACTTGGTCAAGTGGCAGACAGAAAGGCGACTCAAATAAGATACATGATCAATGAGGATATCCTTCAATATATGCATGAAGTCCTGCCTGTGGAGTGGTTT